TGGGCACCCAGATCCCCAGGCTATGAACAAACTTCCGCGCCATGTTCCCCAGCCCATGACCCATGCTCTGCCGGTCTGCCCAGTCACCCTCAGCCTCCTCCTGGTTTTACCCCAGTGCGTGGAAAACCACTCAAACCCACTTGTGGCACCCAGCCACGAGTTTTACAAACTTATTTTTCCTCCCTTCGTTTTACAAACGCGCTGTCCCGTGCCCTAGTGAATCCCTGGGCATCGCTCCCCCTGCGGCTGCTCTCAGCTTCTCTGATTGCCGTTTGATTTTGAGTCTTTCGGAGAGGCGGGTGGTGGATCTGGAGCACCCAGACCACCTCGAGCGTATTATTATTATTATTATTATTATTATTATTTCATTATTATTATTTTATTTCAATTATTAAACTGTTTTTATCTCAACCGATGAGTTTTTCTCACTTGTGCTCTTCCAATTCTCTCCCCCATCCCACTGGGTCGGGGGGAGTGAGTAAGCAGCTGTGTGGTGCTCAGTTGCCAACTGAGGTTAAACCACGACACATCTTTTAAGCCTGGGAAGGATTATTACAGTCGCTCAGCCTGACCTCTTAAACAACCTAGGGCATGGCTTTTCATGTTTCACTCAAAGCCTCCTAAGTCAAACACAGATATGCCTTGTAGCTCAGTCAGAACATATTTTTAACAGGGAAAAAGGCAAAAAAGGCATCCCAGAATTCAAGCAACAACATGTAATTACACTTCCAGATAATTGGCTTCCACAGCTGATCGCCTTGAGCATTAAACATTTGCACCACACTTCTGCTCTGAATTTATGGGCTTCAGCTCCTCAGCCTTTGCCCTGCGTTCTCCCACCAAGCTGAGGTGGGAGCTGAGGTAGCTAAGCTACCTCAAGTCTTTCATTCGGCTTTTTAGACGTTGTTCCTTGCTGCCTGCGGAGATGCACCAAGGGAATTGCCCTTGGGCTGAAGCCAGCACTCCCTTTGCAACACGGGGAGGCAAAGCAATGCCCCCGGCCCAGGCCACGCACCTCTGGAAAGGAGACTGGAGACGGGCACCCTGCTAAAAGCACCTAGAGCAGGCTCTGCCAGGGCAGGCGTCGTCCCGCTGCAAATTCCTGCCACTCTCACCGGCCACCGAGGCAGCTGCTGTCACCCAAGAGCTGCGTCGCGTTCGCACAGCCTCGGCTTTTTGCAGGCGGGTTTTCCTTCCCTCAACACCCTCGCAGGGAGCTGCCCTTCACGTACGCGGTGAAAGAGGGCAAGTGTTTTAGAGCTGAAGTTTTCTCAGTTAATTTATAACAGGCCCTGAGGGATCCCTTGCTTTCATCAACTCAGAGTGCCTGGGCAGAAGGTAAATACCGTGCGGCAGGTAATGCGGGCTGGGAAGTGAACACAAGCCATGCCATGGAGTCATTCGGTGACAGGGGCTGCAGCACCTGCGGCGACTCCCACACCTGCCTTCCCAAGCTGCT